CAAAAATTTAATAAAATGAATTTAAAAAAAAGGAGCTAATTATATCGAAAAGCTATAGTTAGAAAACTAGCTTATTTGGGGAACATGGCAATATTTTAATGTTTAACATTTATTATTTCAAGTCGGTTCGAAGGTCAAATAAATATACGACCCTATTACAATTGTAATGGCCTCCCCGTTGTGTTCCCTGGGTACCAAAAATTACATATATTACAGATAATTAATAATAAAAATATATGTAAACGGTAGCTAATTCGAGCGGCGATTTTAACTAAAGAATATTAAAACTTCTTAAAAAAAAATAATAGTCAGGGCATCAATTTTTAAATAATATTTTATTAGCTCATATTACAATGAAATTGACCAAATATTAATCAAATTCGTTGCTTAGATCAAAATTGATTTCGGACCGAAAATCGTCTTCTAGCACAACTACGCACACATGCACACTTTTTTGTTTACTGTTTTCACTCACACAAGCAAGTGAATTCTATTTTTAGATTTTTATGCTCTCAATTTTACGCGAGCCGGAAGAGAGTAATTATTGCCGTCACCAAAAATGTGGCTGCATAGTGCAAAACCAATGTATGGCCGTTACGCATCTTATTATTCATTCTAGGGTCTTTGGTCAAACCCAAACTATTGGAAAATTTTATTTTAAATTTTTTTCCCCAATTTCTCTTATATTCCAAATAATTTAGAAATTTCTTGTTCGCACTTCCACCAACTGAGTAACGTGTATCTTATAGTCGGGGTCTATAGTATTCTCTCTGTTCTCTCACTGTTTATCTTATCTTATCTTTTTAAAAATTGTATCACTCCTCATTTGCAGCACCTTTGTATAATGAAACACTAATTACAACCCCTAACCTTTTGAAGCTTACTTGCTTCGTACTTACTTGCGTGTACTTAAATACGCAGACGATGTTAAATTATGCCGGCAGAATGCCGCGCATTTCTTGCCATTCGGAGTTGCAATCCGATCTATGTATGTATGTTCTTTCAAACTAGATGCCGTGATAACGTAGTAAACTTATATGGCTCCAAGCGTAAAGTTATGACCTTTTATAATAGACTATCCTCATTCCTCTAATTCTCACTCTCTGCCACTCTTAAAGCGATCAGGACTAAATTTTTTAACACATAATTAGATCTTACTAATATTTATATATTTTCTTGTTCCTTTACTGTTTGCTATATCCCGTCTATCTTTTCGCGAATCGAGCCGTACAATACACGGCAGCGCCCCTTGGTTGGTTAGCCGTGGGACACGCTATTGCCTAATAAGATGTTATATGTAGTTCTTGAGAAAAATAGCGGTCGATGTCTTTGCAGTGCATTTGTATGTGTATGCTTATAACTGTGCCGTCGTGCTTGCACTGAGATTGATAAGATAAACAAATTTTTGTTCTTTCTTATTTAAGACACTATTAAAATATTGATCTACGTCAAAAATAAACATTACTGATGTCGGGTTTCATTGCCAACATTAGAGGCACATCAGCTGTGCGATTATCTTTCCCTATCTAAGTTCGTCTCTCTCGCGTTCTATCTAAGCACGTCTCTCTCGCGCTTGCAACGTTGGGTTAGCGATATGCTGTTCGCTCTGCATTTAAGTCGCTCGAATCAATCGCTTTCGTTACTTATGCATATGCGCATCGATGCAAAATCTCTTGGAACAAACAAAAAATAAACCATAATAATTCAAAATCGTTACAAACAAAATCGTCTTTCATGTCGCGGAAAATAGGGAATAAAAAAGCTAGATGAAAATAGCTCGTAGGGAAAGTTATCTTGAAAGCTTCCGATCTTAGTAACGTTTGGGGGTTTACAGGGATCGACACCTAAATCCGCAACGAAGTCTTGTTGATCCTGTTGACACTTTAAGGATATTAGTGGCGAGTCTTGCAAGGAAAGGAGATCACCAGCTCGTCAAAAACTATCCTTGCTATGTCAAAACTGCTTATCAATCCCTTGAAGCTAGTTTGGCGCATGAATGATTTCATTTTGGGTGATTTCAGAGCGGGTGCACAGTGCAGTTTCTGTGCATACAAAAACAACACCAAACAGCACTACAGTCATCTTACAAAATAGAGTAAACAAAACAGAAGAAACTCAAAAGGTTTTATAAATTTATTTTAAATTATGCACAGAACTGAGTTATAATAATAGTTATAATAATATACAAATAGAGATCAAGAATTTATTAAAAACCACGGCTGGTTTTGGCAAAAAATTTCCACCGTTCGCTTAGAAGTCAGAAACCAAATAAGAATCAATATGATCAAAACCAAATATTTAAATTTCTCCTTCGCTCAACTGCGGAAATCAGGATCACCCTGTCCACGTGAAAGTTGAGATCTTTGGAACTATAAAAGCTAATACGCACGTTTGTTTCAGAAGACCACCGCAGACGCTAAAAACTATCACACCCATAACTTGAAAAATGGTTTGAATTTTGTGTATTACTTTATTTGACTTGTCAATTTCTATTGAACTGCCAAAAACATTCAGCCCACGCCTGTAACGACAACGAACCAAAAAAACAATACAAGAAAGAACGCTATATTCGAGTTTCCCGCCTATCAGATTCCCGTTACTCAGCTAGCGGAAGTGCGAAGTTTTCAAATTTTTTTGGCATATTAAATGAAAAAAAATAAAAGATGTTTTAAGTGTGGACGTGGCAGTGAGCATGGCATCATTTAAAAACAAACTTGAGCTACATATATAAATTTTATATGGTCGGAAATGCTTTCTTTTACATACCTTTACATATTTCTCACCCTTTTACTTTACGAGTAACGGCTATAATAATCACAATGTTACCTATCGCCAATTTGTTCATGCTGGGATTATGTACTTCATATTAATAATACATTTCACGAATTACTTCATGTTAGAATAACTGATAGTTTGTCATTCAGCTTGCGACGTTTGAAAGTATGAAAATGTGCTTATGCACGAACCTATCGCCAATTTGTTCATGCTGGGATGATGTACTTCATATTAATAATACATTTCACGAATTACTTCATGTTAGAATAACTGATAGTTTATCATTCAGCTTGCGACGTTTGAAAGTATGAAAATGAGCTTATGCACGTGCTAAAAAAATTATAATAATTTTTGGCATATAAATTAAAAAACATTTTCACAGTGGTAAGACTAGGGATGTCGACAAAAATTCGGCCCAGTTGCCTAAACAACTATTGTATTTATAAGAGTACGCCGAGTCTTTTAATGTTGTGTCCAAAATTGGTCACATATTTGAATGCAGTACTACATGTATTTAAAGCAGACTTTGCAGATGGTGCCATGACAAAAAGTAATTTTTTTATGGTGTACTTATGATGTACAAATTTTGTTTTACCTAATTGGCATGAAAATTAGTTTCGTTAGTTAATTATTAACTTGGAACTTAGGAACCAACATAAATGATGTACATTAATCTATGTAAATTTTCACAAAGAATAATACAATAAATATAAAATATAATTCATCATTTTCATTTGCGGTCACACTTGTACACGATGTATGATTTACAAATTAATTATTGTTCGAATCTATAGTTGGAAATTTATTTAATATAAATAATATCTTAGTTATGCATAATTATGAATATGGTCAGACCGACGAAGGATTTAAGTTTTGCTGTAAATATTATGTTATATTGTTGTAAATGTATGATATGCTTAGAAATTCAAATATTTGGAACTAATACAAGCCCCCATGTTTCAATCTCCTGAGAAAATCCGAGAGCGAAAAAATACTTCGGTTGAACGTTCAAAATGGGCTGGAGGTAGCATGATCGCTGGGAATTTGATGAAAACTTTTCTATATATTCCGCGATGTGCGAATGCTTACAATTGTAAATGCAAATTAACTTAAGCCTAGCTCAGATGCCCTGGAGCGGAGAGCTGGGGAAAAATGGAGAGGGTGAGTGATAGGATATGGAATGGAGACATCCGTAGTTCGGCACTGCTTTCAGAAACTAAACGTCCTAAGCATATAAGAAAAAATTGTTTTTTTTTGTAAAATATATTAAATAACTGCAATAACTATATTAAGTATTTTAATCAAAATATTATTTATTATATTATTAATAATATTATTTAATTTAAAATATGTGCACATTATATACATAGAATGTATCTAACGTGCAAAGAACTGACTTTTAGTTTTCGATATGAAAATACAATTAATGATTTGTGGTAATCAAAATTTATTAGTAGAATCATACAAGTTAATTAAGATTTTACACATACTGCTTGGTAAAGCATTTTTTGTTCCACCGGAGCTCAACTACGGTATATAAACACATATCTTCGATAAAGAATGATTTCGTCTTGAGTGTTTTGAAATTATTTAATTTGTAAATTTCTATCGATTTGCCTAAAAAAAACTTTTTCATCGTCCACAAATTTTACACATACTGCTTGGTAAATAAACACATATCTTCGATAAAGAATGATTTCGGCTTGAGTGCTTTGATATTCTTTAATTTGTAAATTTCTAAAGATTTGCCTAAAAAAACTTTTTCCATCGTCCACAAGACCAAAAGCTGCCACGCCCGCAAGGTTTTTGAAAAATTATTTTTTTTTGTTAGTTTTGTAAATTTATTATCGATTTTGCAAAAAAAAAAAAACTGTTACGCCCACACTTTAAAAAAATGTTTTTCCAGCAAATGAAGAAATTTCTCGATCGCACTCCTTATAGCTGAGTAACGGGTATTTGATAGTCGGGGAACTCTACTATAGCATTCTCTCTTTTTTTATTTATTGTGTTTAAAACAGGTTTTTACGCTTCCAACTTAATGGCAACAGAGACTTGTCGTAAATGTGAATAACGCTATTTATTTATTTTCTGTATTTTTGTATATTTCCTTCTCTGACATATAAAGATTTATTGTTTTATTTTAAACCTTATGCTTTTTATTTAGATGTCCGATTAAATCATCGCATTTACTCTTACATTCAGACAAATAACTGGATTTTAGTTACCTGAACACTTATTAATTTTGTCGCTCTCCTTGTAGTCGTGATTCCTGCGCCAACTAACTGTTGCACTTTCATTATCATTTTTATCCACCTGGAGTTCGGCAAGTTTTTCGTTTAAAAGCTCTTCTTCTCTGCGACTTTTATCCTGTTTTCGAGCGAGAGCCAATCTTTGCTCAATCTCCAACTCCCTTGCTGCTGTATCTACCGGTTTTGCAGACCCAAAAACGTTTAATGATGAAGTTCCGCCTTGTTTATCCAAATTGACCTCATCAACATCATTTTTTTCAAAGTCAATTCTCTTTACTTCTGGCAATGGTAAAGTTCGTGGTTTTAAATTCAATTTTGGCCTTTCTTCAACTTTGGATGTATCTTCACGGGAATATCGATCTGCTGTTCTGCCGCGACCTTCTCGATATTTTTCTGATACTTGGTCAACTTCCCTCCGCGTAGGGGATGAATCAATAGATGGCGGTCTAGCGTTGGTGCGCCAAGATCCAGGAGTATTCGCATCTTCTCTTTCTGGTAAAGGTTTTCTTTCTCTATTAAAGCTTCTTTCAAAATGGGAAGAACTTCCAAAGCTACTTCCATTATTTTGACTATCTCGCCTCCAATTTCCAGAGTCTCTATTATCTCCATTATTACCAAAGCCATCAAACCGCCTATTACTTTTTTGTCGGCTTTGCTGGTCGTTTTCATTCGATAGCTCAATACGAATGCGACGACCTTTAATAGAGGGGTCTGGTAAACTAAGTACATGAATCAAATCCTCACGATTTTCCAACTCAACATAGCCAAAGCCTCTGGAGCGACCATTTTCGCCATCTTCTCTAGGTAGTCTCAGCGAAATTAAATTAATACCGTCAAAAAATTCGTAGAGGTCATCTTCATTTGCGTCAAATGGTAAATTATTGATATAAGCAATAAATGGGGCTTTATGAGGAATAGAATTATCGTCAAATATTCGATTTGCCCTCGGAGCGGTTGGAAGCTGATAAACCAACGGCAATGTACCACTTCCATCATCGCTATCTTCGCCATCTAAATTTCGAATTTTCTTTGAGACTTGGGTTGTTCCGACTGGTGCATCAGAATTACACAGAAATGATTGCAAGGATATAACAGTTCCTTTATTCTTTTTTCCCTTTTTTCCTAAAAAAAATTATTTTAAAAATATTTAATTTAAAAACATATGCAGAAATAGACTAAAATAACCCGTGAAAATTAATTTATATAAAAACAATAAAAAATATACGTGTAAGGTGCTGGTATTAAGAAAAGTAAGATTATACATATGCATGTGTAAACATATACATGCGGACATGTGTTACATTACGTGTCAAGAAAAAAACCATGTGGACCAATACAAATGAATACGCATTGAATACAATAACTTTTCAACAATCATAAACCAAAATTTTATAACTTTAAACTCAAAGATATTAAAAAATTTCTAACCTGCGGAAGCCATTTCAACCAATGTTTCCAATCGTTAATTTTGATAATTTACCGAATGCACAAAACTATTAAAATCAATTTCCTTAAATTGTTATCGATATTTACTTCGGGCTTAACTGCACGATTTTGACAGATCGATTATATCCAAGTCCCAAAGAGCACATCATATAGAAATGAGCACATCATAGTAAATGCCTCTTATTTTTACAATTGTTTATTATAGGGTACAATCCGAAATTATGCTTTGTCAACAAAAACCTTGCATCAATTTCAATTATATTTTAATTTTATAATGTACAATTTCTAAAATTCAGAATAATATTATAAATTTAGTAACGCATACCTAATATAAATGATTTCATAAATATGTGTTTATATATAATTTTCATTAATGTGGTAATAAACATAATACGAACCATATACATTTATTGTATATATGAATTATTTTCCATAATAGTGTGTACGTGTATGTTTTTATACATTGCCTGACGCTATATTATAAGGATTTGATTTAAATTAAATTATGCGTTTTTCTTTTAAAAAATTATAAAAACCGCGCTAATTTAAATTTATATTTTCTAATGCTTGTTGGTTTTGTTGGTTTCCTCAACCACGAAAAAAAGAAATAAACCTTATATAAATAGAATACGCCATCTGAAATGGACATTTATACAGCCCTATTGTAGATAACTAAAATCTTGTATGTCATACTTGACAGAATATATAATTTTGATAAAATAGAATATAATAATAAGAAATTTCTTACTAAATATACGAAGAACAAAGAGAGCGAAAAAGATCGCATTATATCACAGCTCGCCCAAGTGCCCGCAAGAACCCATTAATAAACAGGTCGTCTACTGAAAAATCAAACACTGAATTGAAAAGATGCTTTATCTCTGTTATTTCGGTCTTTCGCGGTACTAATGAAAGTTACTAGGGCGATTTATTTTCCACCGAACAATGAAAAAAATTTGTTTCCACAAGAAAGAAGATTGCTAGAAGCATTTAATAGAAGACTTCTTATTGTGTTGTACTATAAATGATTTCACTTTATTCTTTTGGGGGTATTAATGAAAAAATCCGAAATAAAATGGCTCATATCTTTACAATGTATATTTTAGGGTACAAGCTGAAATCATGTTTCGTCTACACCAAGTTTTTGCAAAAATATTTGCATAGTTTTCAAATATATTTTGTACCATTTTTAAAATTCTGAATAATAATAGAATATTACCTACATTACACATTTATAAATACATATTTGATTTCACTTAAATTATGCGTTTTTATTTTATTTTCGACTCATTTCCTTTTCATTTTATTGTTTCTTCTCCACTTTTATAGTTAACATCATTAAAAACTTATAAAATTATAAATAATGAGCTAATTTAATTTTACATTTTCTAATGCTTGTTGGTTTGTAATTATTCCTATTACAATTACATTATATATCTGATGTTTGCCTTTGCTTAACCACGATAAGAATAAATAAACCATACATAGATAAAATACGCCAACTGATATGGACATTTATTCAGACCTATTATAGATAAATAAAATAAATAATTAATTATTTATTAACGGGACTTTGTTAGTTATAATAGTTTAGTTACAGTACATTCAGAATCACTCAATATAAGTTTTTCGGATAATTGATTCTGGAAAGTATTCAGACACAAAGGGAGAAACAGAGAAACAGAGAGGCAGTTGGAATTTTTGACTTATGTGAAACTTCAATACAAAAAGTGAACTTGTATTCCAGCAATCCTGGAAGATTATTTTATTGAGTTTTCATACACAAATAATAGGAGAGCGCACTTCACATGTTCAAATATTTAATTGACCTCTTGAGTGTTATACTTGAAAGAATATATTTTGTGAGGAGTCTTAAATTTTCCCACACATCGAGGTGCAGGAGAGCGGCCTAGCAACAGCGATGAAGGCTGGAAAGCGGTAGGAGTCAAGGGCAGCCAAGTCAAACGGGAAATAATGGACCGCGGTCCACGGCAAAGCGGATAGACCGTGAACTAACCGTTCCGCGGTGGACTTTGGACTCAAGTCGGGAGAGGCCAGATAGGTCGAACGGTAACTGTGTGGACCCTCAAGCCCAATTAAGGACCCACCGTGAATTAACGGGACATATGTGGACCTCAGATCCGAGCCGGCCGTGCGCAGAAAGGGATATAACGGGATCGCCGCGGCTTATAAAGGGACGAAACAAGCGCAGCTCAGGACAAGTTAGCTCAACACGCGGTCATACATGCAAGAGGATAATCGGGCAGAGTACGGGCGCGAGTCGCCCAGTTCCGACGCGGCCGTGCACAGACAGTCAGAAAGCAAGAGGAACGCAGTAAATTGCAAAACCCGTAGAAAAGATTCCGGTCAGTGAGAACGCGCAGGACGCAGTAAGGAATCAGTCGGAGAGAGAGCCAGTGAGTGTCAAAAGCGGACATACAAGGACGGTCACTGCAAGTGACGGAGCGGAGCAACGCAGAAATCCACGGGACACGGGAGAACACAAGAACCTGGTGTGGTCAGAAGGGATTGTGGAGTCAGTGGTTGGTGTCCAGTGACAGGAGCAGTTTTAACAAACGTGCGCTTCCGGGTGTTGCTACGGTAGACCTCTGGTTCGACCTAACGGACGACACACCTTGCGATCCCGCCAAGGATTACTCTACATCTGTGGTACTCTCTTGCTGCCAGTAACAACTCGTCGTCAGCTTTCGTCTACAAGGCCTTCGCTTCTATTCCCCATGACTGAGATTTTACCTCCGCCGGTGCATTATCTTACCTTGGGGCTGGTGACCGTACCCGTGGTGCGGTTGCGTCCTACTGGCCTCTGCTCCGCGCTCGACACCTTCTTCTGCTCGCCTACTGGGAGTTACGATACCCCGTATCGTCTTCCCCCTTCCTCTCGTCAGAAATCGCCCTCCAGCTCCAAGTAACAATGCCGTACTTTCCGTGTCTCCGAACTGAGTCTCCTCCTGCTTCTTGGACACGGCGTTGCTCTCTTTAATCTTGGCTGTGAGAGTTTGTTTGTTCGTCCCACCAAATTTATGATTTGTGTGGGCTTTAAATTGGGCGTGTCATAAAGTTTTTTGGAAAGTCGATAGAAATTTACAAGACTAACAAAAAATGAAAAAATATCAAAACTGTATAATTCTGTTCCCTTGTATATCGTTAGTAAGAGGTCATTGTAAGAGGTGTTCCCAAGCAAGAGTAAACACAGGTCGCTATAATTATTTACTGATTTACTTTAAATTATGGCTATGTACAGGCGCCTGTGGGTGTGTATTTAAAAAAAGATAGTTCGTTAGGCCGAAGGTGGGCGTTCGCCAATTCAGACTGATTTTGTGCTCTCCTTTCTCCATCTTCCCACCGTAGGCACTGCACAGAAACGAGCGATCAGCTGATCATATGCACATTAGGACAAGCAGGAAGCTTAACATGCCGTTCGCCAATGTAAGACCTAGAATGAAACATCTCGCTTGTCCGGTCTATTCTGGTTGGTGGGGTAGAATCTATTATGGAGAAAAAGCGACAAGAAGTGTGACAGGAAGCAATTCATTATGATTGGGTGTTATGTGTTAGTGAGAGCGCTTTGGAACAGATTGGTAGTGGGCACAGTTTAGACTGTGACACATTTGACACTGGTCAAATGACCCTGTTTGGTTTTAAGCGTTACTACTCGGACTAACGCATCTGTCGCTGGGTGCAACGCGATGATGATGATGACAAAGTCGTTGAGTTGAAAACCTTCAGTCTTCTGTCTCCTGGCACCACTTGGGCTTCTGCTTTAGATGTCGTATTCAGAAATGTATCCTTCCAGAAATTTCGCATCATTTTTGATGAATGAGAAACTGCTCCATGAAGGATTTGGACTGTAGTCGATATTCCGAATGCGCCAACATGGGGTTCCCAGTCAAAAAATGAGCCGGTGTGAGCACCTCTAGATCGTCTGCATCAGCTGTGAGAGGGCAAAGCTGCCGTGAGTTGAGGCGTGCTTCTATGCTTATAAGCACTGTTGACAACTCCTCAAAGGTTATTATCTTAAGGTGATGTTTCACTGACTTTACATTAGCCTCCCACAGCCCGCTGCAATTAGGCGACTGAGGAGGATTGAAGTGCTACATGGTCCGCTGCGAAGCAAGCTTGGGGGCTATGATCTCGTAATCCACCTGGAGCTTGCCTTAGAACGTCTTCATCATATAAAGTTGGTTCCGTTGTTAATGTAGAGATGCTAAACCATTGCTCACCGACCGGTGAATCTGTCCAGAGCTAGCGGCATATAATCCGCATTCTGGTCAGGTGATGTTAACTTTTCGCACTCTGTATTTACGAGTATACTGTCTTCCATCCGGTCGGAAGTTCGGGAATGCGTTCAAGGGCGATTCATTTTTCAGAGAACAATGAAAAAATGTTATTTCCACAAGAAAGAAGATTGCTGGAAGCATTCAATAGAAGGCTTCTTATAGTGTTTTACTATAAATAATTTTACTTTATTCTTTTGGGGGTATTAATGAAAAAACACGAAATAAAATGGCTCATATGAATTGTATAATCCAGATATTCCAGAATTGGTGTTTCTGTTATTTCTGAATTTGGCGGATGCCCATCGAATATCACTTCCTTGCATACTTAACATTGTAATTTTTGAGTCTGTCCCATTATATGTCTGTGTGATGTTGGGAATGGAAGTATTAATTTGTAGTCGGATGGATTTTCTTTGTGAAAAAATATTTCGTTTTTAAATGCGGTAATAGGAACCACGATACTGGGGATAAGATTTTAGTCTAAGCTTTAAGCGCTATGTTTTGTTGTGGTGATTGAATTTGTTTTAAATATTTTAGGGGCTTTAGACAGGGCGTCGACCACTATATTTTCCTTTCCTGGTCCATAGGGAAGTTCTTTGTAATATTCGTCTTCCATCTCATAATTGCTCTCCTTTCCAGATACAATCATGTGTAAGCGGTTCATGGTCTGTATACATTTTTACTTTTGCCCCCCATCCAAATAGCCTTTGAATGTTTTTACGGCCCAGCATATGGCTGACATTTCTTTTTTATCTGTTTCATAATTATACCCATTACTCGTAGAGTAAAAGGGTATACTATATTTGTTGAAAAGTAT